AGTGTGCGGTCTTATTCTTGGGCTGCTGAAGTTTCATATCAATTTTGCGTGCTGATTTATTGTAGAGCCGAGCACCTAGGATTCAAGCACCATAATTATGACAAGAGGGTTTGATTTGAAGTTTTGTCCAAGGCATGCAAGAATAAGGAGGAGAAAAATGTGGCTTTAAAAAGGCCAAGCTTTGGCAAATAGCCATGCTGTTAAGTAGAAGCACATCTAGTGATACTTCAAAAACCAAGAAACGGAGGCAGTTCTTCCAATCCAGGGGAAACCTCCCTCAGATCTGCCATGATTGGCTTTTAATTAACCCATTTCACGTTCAGCACTTGAGTTTTCAATTAGTCTTTTATAAATTCGTATGAATAGAATAGAATAACAAAGTTGGAAGGGACCTTGGAGGTCTTCTAGTCCAACCCCCTGCTTAGGCAGGAAACCCTACACCACTTCAGACAAATGGTTATCCAATCTCTTCTTAAAAACTTCCAGTGTTGGAGCACCCACAACTTCTGAAGGCAAGTTGTTCCATGGATTAATTGTTCTAACTGTCAGAAAATTCCTCCTTAGTTCTAAGTTGCTTCTCTCCTTGATTAGTTTCCACCCATTGCTTCTTGTCCTATCCTCAGGTGCTTTGGAGAATAGCTTGACTCCCTCTTCTTTGTGGCAGCCCGTGAGATATTGGAACACAGCTATCATGTCTCCCCTAGTCCTTCTTTTCATTAAACATACTGTCAACTTGCAAAGCTTTCAAGTTGCCATGAGCAGGAGGGAGGGAGAACTGATAGAGCTGATTGATTTCCCTAATTGAAGTGCATTCCATACATTCTTCCTGACCGTAATCAGAAGGAGGGTGTTGGATTTCACAGCCAGCCAAAGTGGTTAATTGGAGAATGTGATTTATGACATGGCCATAGAGGAGGGGAGAGACAGGGTCATAGGGGAATGTAAATCTACGTGGGATTAGTTCTAATTGCATCCGAATATTGCCGAAATGGTGCTCCTAATAAATGACTGTATTTCTTTTGAAGTTTGGCTCATGGCTCATGAATTAATTAGGGCATCTTTCGGAAACTTCTCACATACCCAGCTCCTGAAACCATTCTTCATATGTTTTAGCCTCCAGTCCCCTAATCATCTTTGTTGCTTTTCTCTGCACTCTTTCTAGAGTCTCCACATCTTTTTTACATCGTGGCGACCAAAACTGGATGCAGGATTCCAAGTGTGGCCTTACCAAGGCATTACGAAGTGGTATTAACACTTCATGTGATCTTGATTCTATCCCTCTGTTTATGCAGCCTAGAACTGTGTTGGCTTTTTTGGCAGCTGCTGCACACGGCTGGCTCATATTTAAATGGTTGTCCACTAGGACTCACAGATCCCTCTCATATTGAGCAAGGTACCAGATATACTGTACCTGTGCGTTTTGTTTTTCTTGCCTAAATGTAGAACCTGTAGAAATGAAATTCTTCTTCTCACACAGTCCTAAAACTAATGGAGAGCTACCTCAGTTCTCTGCTTTCAGGTCTGGTTAGAGATTGTCTAAGCTTTGTCCAGTGGTGGGATTCAAATTTTTTTACTACCGGTTCTGTGGGCATGACATAGTTTGGCTTGGTGGGCTTGGCAGGGGAAGGATACTATGAAATCTCCATTCCCACTCCACTCCAGGGGAAGGTTATACAAAATCCCCATTTCCTCCCAATCAGCTGGGACTCAGGAGGCAGAGAATAGATGGGGGCAGGGCCAGTCAGAGGTGGTATTTACTGGTTCTTCAAACTACTCAAAATTTCCACTACCGGTTCTCCAGAACTGGTCAGAACCTGCTGAATAGCACCTCTGGCTTTGTCCCTCATCCATGGTTCAGAGAAAGTCCAACATGCTGAAACTTTCAAAGAGGCTTTAAGGAGGTTGGGCCTGAGCTGTGTCCCCTGTTCCGACAGCAAAGAAAAAATGGGTGACATTTCCAAATCTACTGAAAAATGAAGACCTTTTTAGCCGTAGCGAAAGAAGAGCTAAGTTACAAAATCATCGTAACCAAAGTTACAACTGAATGCCTTGGAGAAATCTCCTGCTTCTTTGAGTTGGATGAAAGAGGAACGTCAGAGAGATTCTGATGGTAGAGTGGACTTCTTTGATGTAGAAGTAGCCAAGTGAGAGAGACATGTGTATGTGTTTGTCAGCTTGCTTCGCACCCGTGTACACTGTCCACACATTCATGCAACGTCAAACAACATGGCAATTCGCTCGCGCACGCCATCTGTGCGTGCATGCGGTGTCAAAACCACAGCGATATAGGATGGGATTGCACCCTGGCAGGTGGGCGGGCCCACCATGGCCCCACCCACAGGTCGCTACTACCGGTTCGCCCGAATTGGTGCGAACTGGCTGAATTCCACCTCTCTGTGTGTGTCAGAATGGGCAGTTTCTAAATTTGATATATAAGTAACAATAAATAAACTTAAGTTGGGATTGTTTAGGTTGCCTCTCCTTTCCAGTGTTTTTCTGTGCCTGGCTGCAACCGCTCGCACTTACCCTGTGATATTGTCGAATGGTTGGAAGTCTGAGCAATTTGGTTAGTCCAGCAAACTATGTTGGGTTAATCACAGTTAGTATGTTGTATAAATAGAGCCTGAAAGATGCAGCAGTTCCATATAAGAAAGAAGAAAGTTTTGAAAATACTACCATCAAAGATTATATAGGGACAATTAGAATTTAGGGGTTGTAGGATCCAATCTCAGGTCAGTCCCTGGGACCAAAGATTTATTCTTCCGAGCTTTCGGACTCGTGCTGAAGCCCATCTTCAGGGAACTTCTCTGTCTCCAGAATGTGAAAGACATGTGAAAGTCCGAATTGCAGGATTGGATCCTCTAACTTTATCCTGGGACACATATACCTTGGTACTCAATTGCTTTGAAACTCATCGAATTTGGTACTCAACGAATTTTGCTGCAAGAATTTTTGTCCCAGTATTCATCGTTTATTTGATAGGGTGGTGCGGTGGCCTAGAGGTGGAGCTCTCGCCTCAAAATCAGGAGGCTGTGAGTTCGATCCTAGGTAGAGGTAGATATTTCTCTCTCTGCGCACAATGAGAATATATCTGCTGAACAAAACTCTGCATTGGCGACAGGAAAGGCATCCAGCCATTAAATGCTCTACTAGCTCCATTCAGTTGCCCAGACTTCACCCTGCAAGGGATTACGGGGTGGTTAAATGATGCGTTTGTTTGATACTTGATGCACAAGCTAGATTTTGTTGGTGTTGGCTGCCTTGTGACTTACTACATTATTCTTTAAGGAAAATATTTGTTTGGTACTCATAGTTTCTTGTACTCATTGTGCTTCCCGGAAATAATTAACGATGAGTACTGATGTACCACTGTGTTTGGGTTGTGTTTAACTTAGAGTGTGCCCTTTTGAATCTAAAGTTTTAACAACCGTACATTTTAGTGAACAAATTCTTCATGTACTTAAGAAGAAAATAAACCTTTTATGCTAAAAGAAAATTATACATAAAAGCGATCTGTTTTTAGCTCAATTTTCTTCTGTTCCTCCTAGAATGCAATGAATATTTGGGGCAAATCTCATGGATTACACCTTATTTTGGGTTTTGCATAATTCTTCATTTCACCGCATGGTATCTTCCCCATTTGTCCTCTCCTGTTTTTCAAAGTTAAAAAAGTCTGACAATTTTTAACTTAAGTCTGGCAAGACATATACTTAATGGGAGATAAATGTGTGATTTGCATTTTATTTGAAAATGTGCTCTGTGTATGCCTTTCTCTTTGGGTATGTTTGTGTACAAATGCAAGATATTTGTCGGAGTTTTAAAAGGTCCCAGCATACAAAGAAGAATGATCCTCAGTGTGTGTGTTTTTGTGGCAAAAAAAAAAAAGTTTATAAAATTGGACACAACTCACCTAGCAACAGAAATTCTGATCCCCATTGTGGTTGTATGTTGAGGACTACCTGTAACTGAAATATGGCCGAAATGCTTCCCGAAACCTAGTGAAAATGATGTGATTCAGACAAGTTTTGGATAAGGAAATAAATACAGACATGGATCACAAAAAACCCTCACATAGAGATGCATAATTATTCTCAAGTTCAAACTGGGACATAATCCAACATACTCAACACTCAGAGTGAGCAGTCGGGGAGGGAACAAGTCGATTTTGCTCATTGGTCTGTCTTTAAATGCTGATTTATGAAAACCTTGTTTCAGGAAAGGAATTTCTGCAAACTTCTGCCAACAGTGGAAAAGTGGAACGGAGGCTTAAAAACAGAGATCCTAAAAGAGAAGATTGGTTTCCTAGGTGAGTAACTTGGACTAATAATAATATTTCTTGCGTTTGCTGGAATTCCAAAATGCTACCTGTGAAATGTTTTACAAGAACTACCCTCAACTGGGTAGCATTCGAATATATGATTTTCTGCAAAAGGAGAAAAATATAAAAAATATCTCATATTTGAAGTGTCATTGACCTTATGGGGGGAAAATAGTACAGAACATCATGTAGGTCGTCTTGTTCTATAATTTATAATTTCCTCATTTTGGAAGTTCTCCCACATGAAGGACTGAGGGAAACAGCTGCATTTAGTCATTATTTGATTCTAACTCTATGTTAAGTTAGTTCAGTCCAGAAGTTTAGCTAAATGTTCCCTAAACAGGATGGTTTAATCTTCTAGGTTCTTGTTTTTGGATCTACTGGACAAGAACTGCAATTATTTACTTAAACTCCTTGCTAACACAGTGCCTCTTATTCATAGAATTTATTTTTCTGATAAATTCAGTACTCTTGTACTGCAATGAGTCTTGGACCTTCTACGCACGGCAGGAGAGAAAGTTGAACACCTTTCATATGCGCTGTCTCCAACGTATTCTTAGCATCACCTGGCAGGACAAAGTTTCAAATAGCGCAGTCTTGGAATGTGCTGGAATTTCTAGCATGTATACACTATTGAAACAGCGACGTCTACACAGTCTGGGGCATGTCGTGAGAATGGCTGGTGGTCCAATTCCGAAAGATCTCCTGTATGGAGAATTAGTGCAGGGAAAGCGCCTCAGAGGGAGACCACAGCTGCGATATAAGGGTATCTGCAAGAGGGACCTAAAGGCCCTGGGAATGGACACTAACAACTGGGAAACCTTGACCTCCGATCGTTCAGCTTGGAGGCTAAAGACGCAGCATGGCCTTCTCCAATTCGAAGAGACGCTTGTTCGGCAGGCCGAGGCAAAGAGGCCGTCCCGGAACCAGCGAAATCTGGAAGCTGGGCAAGGGACAGAATGTATCTTCCCTTAGTGTGGAAGGGATTGCCACTCTCAAATTGGCCTTTTTAGTCACAGTAGATGCTGTTTTAGGACCTCTTTCCAGAGCACGATACCATAGTCTTTGGAGACCAAAGGATGCCAATGCAAGTATTTTTCTGAGAACTAACTAGCAATCATTAACCTAAATCTCCATGGTTTGTGAGAAAGGACAGTTGACGGTTTTGCTTTTAGAAATTTTCTCTCAGATCGGATGATACAGTATGTGAGAAGCTAAATATCTATAGGGATTCTATAGGTTTATAGGTCATGGTTGTCCCAAAGGTGCTTTTTCAAAAGGCAACTGGACTTTCTGGGTTTTCTTTGAAGACATTTCGCTTCTCATCCAAGAAGCTGAAACAGAGCTAAAGAAGCTTCTTGGATGAGAAGCGAAATGTCTTCAAAGAAAAACCAGAAGTCCAGTTGCCTCTTGAAAAAGCACCTTTGGGACAGTATGTGAGAAGTTAGGGAGTCTACCGAGAAATGGAAAAAAGAGGGGGAAAAGTTTCATAGGCAGTCCTTGGCCATAGCAGCAAGAATTCCTCTTTTCTTTTATAATAATTTTGATTGTAAATAATTTGTTTTGAATTTTTTTTACCCACAGTGTTTTATCAGAGGAATCCTTGATGTTCTCTGAGCTTGGTGGTTTTATTTATTTATTTATTTATTTATTTATTTATTTATTTATTTATTTATTTATATTTATATATTTTTTATTTTGATTTATATGCCGCCCTTCTCTGGAGACTCAGGGCGGCTTACAATGCGTTAAGCAATAGCCTTCATACTTTTTGTATATTTATACAAAGTCAGCTTATTGCCCCCACAACTGGGTCCTCAATTTACCTACCTTAGAAAGGATGGAAGGCTGAGTCAACCTTGAGCCTGGCGAGATTCGAACCTGCAGTAATTGCAGGCAGCTGGTCTTAATAACAGGGTGCTTTAGACCACTGTACTACCAAGGCTCCTTATTTATTTATTTATTTATTTATTTATTTATTTATTTATTTATGTCATTTATATGCCGCCATTCTCCCGAATGACTCAGGGCGGCTTACAAAAGAAAACATTCAACAATTCGAAAATGACATAAAAAATTAAAATCCAATTCAAATTTATTAAAATTATTTCAATGTAAAAATTCCCCAACGGATCAGCCCACTTCAGTTTTCTTGCAGACGTTTCATTACCAACCTAGGTAACACTTTCAGTGCACTGATGATATTACCTGGGTTGATAATGAAACATCTGCAAGAAAGCTCAGAGAGCAGCAAGGACAGTGGTGGGTTTCAGCCGGTTCGCACCTTTTGGTAGAACCGGTAGTTAACTTTTTGTGCTGTTCGGCAAACCAGCTGAATAGTGTGCCTCTCCGCACCTGGCCCCACCTCACCTCTCCCCTCCCAGCCACTCCTCACCTCACCACTCACCTGCTCACCTCACCACTCACTTGCCCAGCTGGGTGGCGGGGCGAGTAGCTGGGTGTGATAAGGTGTGGCTGGGAGGGGAGGGGCAAGGCAGGACTGGGCATGGCAAGGAGAGGCTGGGTGAGATGAGGTGCTCCTTGACATGAGTGATGTAGAGTTGGTCACGCCCACCCAGTCACATGACCACCCAGCCACATCTATCTAGCTGGTCATTAGGGCAGAGAACCGGTTGTTAAATGATCTGAATCCCACCACTGACCAAGGACCCCTCATTTCAACCCTGAGCTACAAATATTCTTAGTGTTTTATCAACATTCTCTTCTCCTTTAGAAAAAGGTTCTGAAGCCGATTCGCTTTCGTTAAATTGACTTTAAAGACTGGTTGTGGGGGAAATGAAAGTTTTGGTTTGGAAGCATATGGGAAGGGTATTTATCCCCTCCTCTTAGGGACTGGTGTTCTAGAAGTTCTAGAGGTAGAACCGATGACTCATGAAAGATAAGTAATTCAAAGGTAGCCATTTGTTGCTTCGCCTGCAATCGTGTTTCAAAAGAGACTTTGCCAGAATGCAAAAGTAGGAATCTCAAATTACTGCTTGTTTTTTTGCCCCCCCTAAGATTTATTTTTAATGATGCTCTTTCCTAAGAGCAGGCCCCTACTGTAAATATTTACAGTTGAATCTAGCCTGTGAGGCTTTTGGAAGGGGAAAAAAAAATCTAAAATAAACACCACCCCTCTCCAAATCTCCAAATTGGTTGTTTAACCTGCTGGCTTTGTATTTTCATTTTTCCGAAGGCTGGGTCAGGCAGAAGTGGTTTCGGTCTATCGAGCAATACATGCTACTCAGTTAATTGCTTTTCTTCCAGGTTTTTGTATTGAGTTGCCTTTCTTCCTCGTCCCTTAATTGCTTTGATCTAAATGTTGTATTCTTGTCATTCAAACTGCTTTAGCAATTAAAGGTGGCTGAGAAAGATATTGACATACAACCATTAGTGGGTGAATGAAGGCTGTGTCGTGGTTTTAAGTGAGAGATCTATGGGAAGGAGGGTCCTGTGTAGTAGCATGGTTTGTCTCAAAAGAGCCTTGGTGGCGCAGCAGACTAAAGCACTGTTAAGTAACACCAGCTGCCTGCAATTACTGCAAGTTCAAATCTCACCAGGCTCAAGGTTGACTCATCCTTCCATCCTTCCAAGGTAGGTAAAATGAGGACCTGGTTTGTGGGTTTAATAACCTGACTTTGTATAAAAAAAGAACACCGCTTGAGGGGGGCCAAAAGCCCTACTAAGCAGGTATATACAAAAGTATGAAGGCTATTGCTTAACGCATTGTAAGCCGCCCTGAGTCTCTGGAAAAGGGCGGCATATAAATCCAACCAATAAATAAATTGAACCAATAAATCGAACCAATAAATAGGCTAGCATTCATTTGGCCAAAGCAAGAGTCTCCAACCTTGGCCCTTTTAAGACTTGTGGACTTAAAGCTGGCTGGGGAATTCTGGGAGTTGAAGTCCACGAGTCTTAAAGGGGCCAAGATTGGAGACCCTTGGGCTAAGGCACAAAACTAGTCTCTGCAAGAACCAACCTAAAATTTGTCTCCCTTGGCTGATGCTTTTAGAAGATCCCCATGTAATACCCACTACTTCCAAGAAGTTCTTAAGAAATGCCTACTACTTCCAAGAAGTCTCTTAAATTATACCCACAACTTCTAAGAAGTCCTTATGTCAATGTTGGCAGATCTTTTCAGCACCAAGTGCCAAAACAGGACTACACGTGTGCAGGAAACTGGAAGAGTTTCCATGTCCGTTCTCTGTCTAAGGCAGGCCCATAATTAATCTTCAAACAGATATTGTCTTTGAATGTATCTTGGATTAATCCTCTGCAGCTAATTGTCACAAAGCTGTATTTAAATAGAGTTACGGTTTAAATACACGCAAAGAAAGATATTCGCCTCTCTTTTTTTGAATGGTAAGCTCTGGGGCAAATTCACTCTGAATTAAGGGCTCGGAGGCAGGCTCATTTTTACTCTAATGATAACTCAATCATAAAGTTGGTTGGTTCATAAAGGAAAACAATATTTAATTAGCACAACTAAGGTTGAGGATTTATTTTGTAAGCATCTTTGTCATCTCTGTGTCAGAGAGAGAGAGAGAGAGAGAGAGAGAGAGAGAGAGAGAGAGAGAGAATGTAAACAAATACACAAAGAAGCAATATTCCTCTTCCACTTTGTGTGATGTTTTGATTGTTCAAAAATGTTTTCACCCGCTTCCTCAGGTCAGGAAATCATACGGCGAAAAAAGGCATGACTCAAAACAAGGAAACAGAACAATCACAATCAGGTTTTTGTGGAGATTGTTCAAGTGGATTGTGTTATTGCATAAGGGGCACCATCTAGTGGGTAATCAACAGTCGGGCTTTCAAATAATTCAGTCAAGAAGTGATTGTAATGAGGTCTAGAAAACTGAACAGTTAGTTCTCTCCAGCAGAATTTTGTGTGTTATCGCTGACTTAAAACCAGGGGTGAAATCCAGCAGGTTCGGGAGAACCGGCAGCGGAAATTTTGAGTAGTTCTGAGAACTGGCAAATACCACCTCTGGCTGGCCCCAGAGTGGGGTGGGAATGGGGATTTTGCAATATCCTTCCCCCAGGAGTGAGGAGGGAATGGGGATTTTGCAGTATCCTTCCCCTGGAGTGGGGAGGGAATGGGGATTTTGCAATATCCTTCTCCTGGAGATTTTGCAGTATCCTTCCCCTGCTACGCCCACAAAGCCACACCCACCAAGCCACGCCCACAGAACCGGTAGTAAAAAAAAATTGAATTCCACCACTGCTTAAAACTGATCCAAATTCAATATTGGAAGAAGGACTCTTTGCCTACTATTGAAGAGTGGATATTGAAAGTAACAAACCTAGCAGAAATGGCGCAAATCTCGGCGTATTTGAAGGACTACACGCAAGAAAGATACGTATCGGAATGGAGAAGATGGATTGATTATATTCAAAATAAGTATCAGACAAGAAAATATCAAATAGCTTATGAATGAATGTTAGTATTAGAAGTATTTGGTTATTTGTAGTGGAGTTAAGGTTTCAGTGGGGGAGGCAGTACTTTGAGGATAAGTAGATTAATCTAGTTTATGTTTGATTAAATGAAATACCTTGTATTTTGCTCTGGGAAGCCGGGGGGGGGAGGGTGGGATGAAGGGGGGGAAAGGGTGGGGGGAACATGGGGGGAAAAATTTGTATTTCTTTTTTGTAAAACTTTTCAATAAAAAAAAAACTGATCCAAATTACAACGGACCCCGCAA